GAGAGAGAGAGAGAGAGAGAGAGAGAGAGAGAGAGAGAGAGAGAGAGTGCGTGTGTGTGGATAAGGCAGAGGCAAAAAAATCAATTCAAGTAAGAACTTATTGTCATACAGGGCGCACACTTCCATAAAACTACACAATATATAAAATATACCTATATGTACCATATGTGGCATATGGTTTTGGAATCATATGAAAACAAAAATGGAAATATTAACTAAACTACAACAATTTAATATAAAATACACGCAAGAATTGTTAGTTCATCTATCTCTCTCTCTCCCTCTCTCTCTTTCAGTCCGTGTGTATGCATGTGCCTGCATGCTTGTGCATGTGTGTTATTAGTTTTTCTACGTAAGACGCTGGGATTGCACGACTTTAATTGAATGCTCTAATTGAATTAAATTCAAGAATATAATTAGTTTATTAGCTTTTTAAATCATTATTTAATTATCTAATTTAATTGATTTTTTTTACTTTTTTATTAATATTCGAAAAATTCATTTTCCTTTCTTTTCAATTTATTGAAATAGTACAAAACGTCGCCTGCATGCATGCATGAAGAAGAAGTGTTTAAAAACAATTTTTACAAATTTTGCAGGGATTTTTGCAATTCACAAATCCGTACACGATTATATGTAGATTTATGAAAACGTATAAATTATTGATACATTGAGGTCAGGCAACTAGGTCAGAGCTGCCAACTGAGTGTGTTGTGTAATACAGATAATCATTGTAAGAATGACGGCTGGGATATCAGAGAGCAAGCGTAAGCATCATTTCATCTTTTTCTAGGCAACGCAGTTAAATGCCGCTAATACATTATATTATTATCATTTATATACATAGACAACGTGAGAAAGAATCGCCGAATACTGCCATTTTAACCGACTTCCTTGCATTCAATTATATATTATTTAAATGAACACTTTTTCTTTTTGTAGGAATTGGTGAAAATTTCTCTATATATGAGAAATTATTACCACTGACCCATCTTATTGCTTTTTAGTACGTACATGTATTCATTTAATGTGTTGTATGCATGCTACGGGCTCCTCTATACGATGTTGTTGGTGATGTTTTCATTTGCGTTCATTTCGGTTTCGTTCCCTGTACATGTACAACTATAGAGGATTTTGTCTATGCATTTAAATATCCTTTTTCATATCAAAACAGCCTGGCCTAGCAATTTGTGAAATGTGTACGTGTATATAAGTGTATGCATCCGTGTGTGTGTGTGTGTGTGTATGTATGTGTGTACAAAACAGGCTAGTGTTTGACATGTCATATCGGAGGGCAAAATAGGGTAAATTACCCTTTTTTTAAAGCAATGACGTGCATTTAAATGTTAAAAGTAGGACAATGGCAAGGATGTCTCTGACGTTAGTATTTTTATTTTCTTCTTTTTCTATTTTGCAGTTTTTTTGTTTTTTTTTTTGGCATTAGACGCCGTAAAACTTGCAATAAATTATGCTTTGCATCGAATCACAAAACGATTGTTGACGATTATGATCGCTATAAATAAATGCACAAATACGTATACAACACACACACATGCGTATACATATTTATACATAACGTGCAATATCTTTTACGTCATCAGTGTTGAGTTAAATAATCTGGCAAAATTTTTTGTTTGTTTATTAAGGCGTGACAAGATTTTTTTTTGGTGCATAACAAGGTTAAAAAATGTTATAATAGAAACTTTAGTATAGCAAATAACAATTTACGTGCATGTGTAATGCCCAAGGATAACGTTTAACAATGCAAACATTGTTTCGTTTAGGATATAATTTTTTATGCCGCTTAGTACATGTCAGAATAACTTGGAATATGACGACGATTATATTATAAAGCTTTTACAAACGCAAACGCACGCACACACACACACACACACACACACACAGGAGATAAATTAGTATTTCACCCAGTTCCTGACTGGCCGGGGTGTTTCCGAAACTATCTGTTCAGGTGCAGGCACGACAACTCGCCATATTGCCCGGCATATCCGGAAACGAATGAAGAGAGCATAGCATCTTTCGCTTCAGAGGGTTCAAGAATGGCAGACTTCAAATGGAGCCAAATGATTGGAGGGGTTAATTGCCAGCAAAGAAGTCTGAAGCATCGTAGGCGACTTTGTAAGCGGAGTGCTCAAAGAACTACGGCGGCTTGAAAGGCAGCGGGTGGAGAACAGAGGGGGTGGAAGCCAATAGTGTATTCCACTGAGGTCCCACGTACATGAAAATTGTGCATACGGCTACTAAGGAACCAGCAGTATCTTTTGAAAATTTTCTACCTTCTACGCGCAGAGAAAAACACACACACGCACACACACCATTACGCAAAAACGTGTTTGTAAACAAATGATTTGTCAACAAAGCTTTTGTCTTAATGATGGCTAGTGCTACATAGAGTAATTTAAATGCGCATTAACTCTTTCATCCCTGCTCCGTTCGGTTTTCCCTTTTCCGTCTTCTATATGTTCTCATATAAATTATCATTTTTTCACAGAACACCTAGTTTATGTTGTGCCCGCAATATTGGCCCTATCTCTAAAAAGTTTGCAAAAAAAACAAAAGCAATTCTTTTTCATTTTTTATTAATTGATCAACGTTACATAGATGACCGTGTCATAGAATTTCGGCCTTAGTATTAGAAGCAAAATTGTTCTTTCAAATAATTAAATAAATGTTTTTAAACAAAAGACATAAGTAAAAATTCAATTTCAATCCCTGAGCTTTGGACGAAAGTTGAATGCCCATTACTTATAATAGACATGCAAATAGTTGCCGTTTTATTTGCGAGTCTCTTAGAATCACTTTAACAAGGAATTATAACCGATAAGTTTTACGAATCGATAGTTTGTTATAACTCATGGATTAATGATTTTAGGTTCTGATCTTTATCGAAGTCACTAATACATTGAACTTAAGAGTAAATATTCGTTCTATTAGCTTTCAACGAACGAAATAGCCCCCTATTATAGGCAGTTTCAAGAGGTTGGTCTACGGAGGAGATAATTTCCATGTTGCAAATATTACTCTTACTCGCTTGCCTTGCTGTGTGTATATTCATATAAATATGATTCTTATTTGCACTTCGAGTGGAAATTTTCATTTAGACCTGCCAAATGAGTAAAGGCAATGTTCAAGTGATCTATTTCCAAGTTTTCAAGCCCATGACAGACTTTTAGCATTTTCTTTAAAAATTCTTGAAAAGACTAAGGCTTCCGTTTCGAGCTTAGTATCGTCGTTGCGCTTCAAGTTAAATTAGCCAAATGTATTCACCGACGCTGCTCAGGCGAAGAAAGGCAAAAACTAAAACAACAATAAAGTACAAAATTTCCAATTAAGGTTTCCACGAAAATTGTATATTTTCCAAAAAAAGGAAGAAACAAAAAGAAGAAAGCCGCGAAACACACAAGAACAAGAATAAAAAAAAAATTGAGAGGGAATGAAAGCGAATTAGAAAACATAATAAAAAAAAAGAAAGCAAAAGAAAACTTACCTCTAAATAAACATCACTATCTGGATTAAAAGTGTCGTTAACCCGACAAAATGTGTAATTCACATGCGGTATCGAGTGTAGAATTCGAACAAGTATACTGGGTTGCTCCATAATAGTGCTGTGTTGTGTTAGCGTTGTGGATGCTGCTTATATTGGTGCTGCTGTTGTTGTTGTCGTTAACGTTATAATTGTGATGGTGGTAGCGGCGACGGTGGCGGTGGTTACATACGTATAGAATAGTGTTTCTTGATGTTGTTGGTGTTGTTGTTCTTCTTTTCTTTTCGTTTTTTTTAATGATACTAAATGCAGTTGTTTGCTAAAAAAATTTTTGATAATCTAAAGCCAGATAGTGGAGGTAGTTTTAACTGCTGTTTGATGTGTGCGTTAAGTTGTCGCAATTGGAATTTTGCACAAAAAAAAAAAAAAAAAAAAAAAATTAAAGGCCTACACACACGCTCGGTATGCTTTGCTCTCAAGTAATTCGTTCGATTTTTTTTCTCTTAAGTGTTTAGTTTTTTTGTCTTTTCTTTAAATATTTTTCGATTTGCTTATGGATCTTATTTGATTTCTCGAAAAATCCTACGGGGTATAAACGGGAGCAGAAGCGAACTTTTTTGCAAAGAAGTTATCTGCGTGCATTTGTAAATAAAAATACATATATGCGTGTGTGTGCGAAAATACACTCGCAAGAACAATAGTTGCGATTACTACTTTTTGACGTCACAAGCACGCACACCATTTCATCTGCAAAAAACACACATAAACACGCATATAAAAATGGTCATATTGATACATACATGCATGGCCAGAGACTTTTCTTTGAGCATATATATATATATACATATATATATATATATATATAAAAAAAAAAATTGTATAAATAAATAAAACGTTTTTCTTCTTTAACTTCAGTGTACTCTGGTGTTTTAAATTCTATTGGAAAATTGCTAGGCAATGCAGGATATGTGTTTGTAGTTTTATAAAATTTTTTAAAAATTTAATTTTCTGCGTATCCTTTACCTGCAACATTTTTATTTTTTTTACATACATTTTTTTCCTTTTCCTTTTTGATTTTTATATAACACATGTGTACAACCTTTACATTTTTGTTGGGCAGATTTATATGAGATGCAGTGCACGGAGTTTGAAAGGGGTCGCGTGCACAGCAACAACAAGGCGAACCCAGTAAAGCTGGTCTTTACATATAATTACCGTACATGCTTGCCTCGCTCGCCGAACTTTCGTCCTCGTTGAGGCTCGTTGCTGTGTGTGCTAGATTTTCACTTTCGTTTTCACACCCAAAAAATTCTTACTTATAAATGACTTACACAAATTTACACACTGATTCGGCCACTCATACTCTTTAAATTCAGTTCATTTTACAGCTATTAATCACATGCCATATTTTCATACGGATTGACTGAAACTAAGGACACATTATTATTCGTATCATTTCCTATTCACTTGCGATTGCTGGCAACAGTGAAGTTAGCGAAACTTTTTTGCTTTTCTATTTTTTTACAATCATATCTCTCTTCTTTGCCCGGTTTTTCGTTTTTTTTTTTTTTTTTGTTTTTCTAATTTTAAATCTTTTTATATCTCTTGTATAAATTTTTCTTTTGTTTCCTCTCTCAGTTATTTTCTGACTGTGATTTTTCATATACCGTGTGCACGATGTTCATTCTATCGCGTATATGTACGTTTTGTTCCACAACATTTCACATATTATTTACATTGCAGTTGAATTGAACGATAGGAGCAGCATTGAAGCTATCGCGAAGTATGTTAGTGGTGAGGAAGCAAGTTAAACTCACCATACTCCTTCATGTCTTTGTGTCATTTTACCATTGTGGTGTGTATGCCCTATGTATTTGAGGCTGTCAATTGAAAGTAAGGATATTTATCGCTTACTTACTAAGCTATTACGGCGAATTGGCTTCAAATCAAAGCCATAAGAAATGTGTCGGTGGTTCGTAATCCTGTTTTCATTTTTCGTTTGTGTGCTTCACTCCGATAGGGTTACCTTAAATTTCAAACTGCAAGGACATCGAAAGAAAGAAAAAAAACTCTTAGCAAACAATTCAATATATATGTATATCCACTTACAAACAAAAAGTGAGGCCAATAATTATAAATTAATAAAGAACCATAAATAAATAAAACTAAAAAATGCAATTAGAAAGAACCCTCTCTCTCTATCTCTCTCGCTCGTTCGCTCACCATAGCATATTACAGAAAGCAAACAAGGAATGAATGAAAGCGGATGAACAGTTGTTGTTGGTTGGTTAACCGACATCATTTTTATTTTAATTATAAATTTTTCGTCGCAGGCAAAACATTTTCGATTTCCGGACTTCCTGCATTCCTCAAAACTGATAAGCATTTGTTTATTGTTTCTCTATGTAAATTAAACTTAAAAATTCACTTTTTATCTCGTATGCATTTATGCATGTATTCAAGTATTTAGTTTGCCTTTGCCCAACAAACAAGTTTTATTTACTCACAATGTTCAATTTAAAGTTATGATACAACGGTACAAACATCTCGCCTTTTATTTTTAAACCTTGTACGTACACACACAAAACACATTATACCCGATGAAAAGTCGCAGAATAATAAAACCTGATTAAGTGAAAAACAAAATAAAAAACTCTTCGACTATATATGGCAACTCTTTCTTATGTTAAAGGTAGATCCTCCGCCATCTAAGCACAAAAGTTGTAATGTGTTTGCTTTTAATAAATAGAGGAAAGGGAATGGGGTTTTGTTCACGCATTTCTAAATTCCATTCAACTCCAACGCAAGAGAATAACATAAAGAACTCTTCTTCTCCTGGGTTTTGTCCAACTTTTTACACGGGAGTGAAAAGAAATGTTTCCGATTCTTTTTTCATATTTCGAATTTTTCTTTTTTTTTTTCTTATTCCCGAGTTTAATTGAAGTTAAAAGTGAAGACACTTTACGGCTGCCCATCTTCCCCTCTCTCGCCAACAACGGAAGAATTTAAGTGTGTGAATGAAAATATTACAATACACTCGCGTTTATACATAGAGTTATATGCAATACACACACGCTTTACACTTTTTCTTATTCAAAAACATTTTAGAAAAAGTAATAAAAACCATGCTTGCTTACTATTATCCATTACTCACTTTGTTGTTAAAACGTTAGCTTTGCCGTAATTTTTTAAAGCATTTGCTAAAAATATCTCACTACATTTTTTCTCTTTTCGTTAAATAACTAATAGTTAGTCAACAAAGCATTTCTTTTCTTCTTGTTACTCCATTTTAAAAATATTTTTAAAATTTATGTAGATAATTAAAAAATTGTTTTCAATAAAAACACTTCATTATCTCCTACTTAAACTACCATCATCCGTATTCAATGCAAATTCAAGCAAAACTAAAGCAAAAACAAAGGAAATATACTTCGATAAGAAACACATAGTAAGGTAAAATTGTATTCTCAAAACGGCGACATTTTCAATGTTGTTAGTGTTTCGTCACTTGCCATAAACATTAGCGTTCAAACTCTGGCGAATTTAAAGTGCATAAAGCGATGCCATATCGTTTAAAATAAATTGGTCATAAAAGTTAAGTGAATCCAAGTATTTCGAAATGTTTTTTAAAAATATACACTTTGAAGTATTTTTCAACACATTTTATCCAACATTTTTTAATTTCATATTTTTTGACGAAAGTTTTTTATTCTATTTTAGTTGTTTTCATATATAAAAACTCTTCATAATAAAGATTCTCGAATAAACCTAAAAACACTTCAACGAGCTTTCGGGAAATAACATATTTATGATATATGATGGGAAAATTTCTAAAAAGAAAAATGTGGGGACTTCAACATTTCCAACTTTTTACAAAACTTTATGACAATTGATAAATCAGATAGATAGCTTTGCATGTATACAAACAGAATCAACAAAAATAAAAACAACATCGAAGAAGGAATAAAAACAGTTTGTTTTAAATGAAAAGCCATTTATCTATAATTTAATGTTTATTTTGGTCTAATTTAAGTTTTGGTTATGATATCCGAGGGGAAATTTTGTTTTATACTCGATATTATGTTATGAGATGTGAAGAGCAACAAATTAATGCAATTTGTTTTCAAATCAAATTCTTTAGGCAACTCTTTTGCTTTGTGCAGCTGCAACAGTGAACTTCATCTTTATGCTCTTTCCTTTATATTCAATTTCTTTACAATCTGTTCCATAGTATAATCAACCAAACACTTGACTTGCCTTTATGTTGTGTTTCGTTATTTTGACTTCTCAAACCTTATGTTTTGGTTTATATTTACATCGATTTGCTCATGTTTTCTTATCAAATAACGTGATAATGCATCTTCCTTTTTAATACGAAAAATGGTATAACGCAGCATTGTGTCATTTTCTCTATTCTCCAACATCGCTCGGAAAATGTTTGGATCCTCCAGATCGTGCGATTTTCGTTGAAACTGAAATTTGAGAAATCATCTTTGGATGAACACTCACAATTGCATGTTCCAAACGTTTTACATAAATTTTTGCGAGCAACCAATGCGTTGCTTCCTTTCCGGAACACACAGCAAATGCAATGTTTTAAATGGGGGCCATCCACTGCACCTCGCAATTAGACGAAGTTGAAGACCATTGAAAGACTATGAAAACAATTCGACTCTATATAACGAATTGTAATTGCTTTCCTTGACCTGCACCCCCTTGAGGGTATCAATAGCTTAAATAAACTTGGCGTCTAGCTTCTCTTTTGAAATGATTTCAAATATTCTATCATACTTTGGAAAAACAATAAATAACTGGAATAAGCTTTATTTGTAAAATTGATAAAAAAAACCTTTTTAAGGGGTATAGCTTTCAAAATATTCTCTGCTATTATCCACAGTTGAAATTACGGTTCAAACGCAAAAGACTACTATTTCCCTTATTAATATATTTGTTTGTAAAAAAAAACCGAAAGTAATTGAGCAAATTTATTAGGTCTCTTTAAAATTCTGATATTAATTTCAATTCATTTTTAGATAAACCTCATATCTCGGGATAGGCGCTGCCAATCAGATTTTTGCCACGATAACGCCATGAGTAGGTAACAATACCGAAATTGCTGCCGCCCAAGGATACCGGACAAGTACGATCTGGTCTTAGTTGGAAGCATAAAGTATACAAAGCCAATTCTAGTTCAGGTGAAGTACCAATGAATAAAGTATTGACCGGCTTATTCAGCCCATTGTGCGTAAAACGAACTTTCATAACCTTCGCTTTCTGCACGAAATTCATGAGAATGCGTTTTTTTGATGGAAAGTGATAATCTAACGAATGTTTACTTACCGCTCCCAAATCCAATTGATTTAAATACCCTTTATAATCTAAACGGCCGCCTTTTTCCTCGTCGTAGAAATATACCCAGTTATGTAGGCCGATGATTGTGCCGTTCTTCACTTCGTTTACGAAGACGTGTTCAAAGCCTGAGCTTCCAATTTTACCATTACCTCGCGAATATTGAGTAAACCATAGCTCCTTAACCAAATCGCGGTGGGTCTTTGGATCGGGGCTAACTAGACCTTTATTTTGCAAAAACAACATGGCCTGACGCATAACATTCGTAGACATAACAGCGTCCACAAAGTCATTTTCCTCTTTGCGTTCATTGGGAGTGACGTGTTCGTTGACCATGGTATCCATTTCATAGTTATTAAACAGTGTACGCATTGCGGCAATTGTGGGCGCATCAAAAGCTTTGGCATCGATTTCCAATAACCTAGAAAACACTTTGTTTTAAATTTAGATTCGTTTTTTGAGTAAGTCTTACTAAGCTTACGGTTGTGGAGCTTCATCGGTACTATCAATGGATCGAGTTTTTCCCTGAACATTAACTTGTATTAAATTTATTTGACTGTTAACTTCTTTGCTATATAACGTTTCAGTTAAAGTTCTGATTTCATCGTCGGTGGCTAAATTATTTATAGCGGAATTTTCACGCGCACCGGGACGTATAGTAGTAGTAGTGCCCGTATGTGGAACGAAAGATATTCTATTATTTGAGCCACCAGTTACCGGCAAATTAGGGTTTAAAGGCTTTGGAGTGGTAACCTGATTGAGTACATCTGCGGTAACTGCAGGTAAAGGTTGATTCCAGGCTGAGGACGCTGAAGATATTATGGGTGAACGAGTCGTGGGGGTGGGCGACTTTGGTAAAGGTAAAGCCGGGAAATCTTCCTTAATGGGAGTTTTCTTCGTTGTAGATTCAGTGCCAGTTCCCATTCGCAAATCAAATTGTGGATCAACCGTTTTAGGTTTGGTTGTACTGGTTGTTGTAGTAGGTGCAGGGAAACTAGCAAAAGGTTCTCGACCCCCTGCGTTGGTAACTGCCGGAGCCGGTTGTTGAGATCGACTACCCCCATAACTCAAATCTATGCCAGAGGGTTGAGATCTGGGTGACTGATAAGGTCCAATTACCCCACCTGATATTTTTGGTTGGTCTTGTTTTGTGGGAATATTTGGACCAATTAATGTTCGTTGATCATTTGCTAAGGGCAATTGAGGACTTTTATCTGGTTGGGATTGAGGCTGAGGCCACTGTGGTGGCTGCTGCGATGCTCCTGCTACTGGAGACGAGGGCGGCGTATTTGGCCGAGGACCCAGAGGCATTAAAGGTGCTTTCGGTATTGTCAACGGTGGAGGTTTTTCAGCGCCGGACACCGGCTCATAACCTCTAGCTGGCACGGTATGTGAGAGGGGGGGCTTTTGAGGTGAACCTAAAGCATTCTTAATTGTTGTACTTTCAATATCAGGTGCTATTGGTGTGGTGGAATCACTTCCACGAAAAAATTTTTTAATGCCACCAAAAAAACCCGATTTTTTAGTGGCCGATTCCTCAACCGGGGCTGGTGTTATTGCGACTTCAGTTTTATAAGCATCTGCAAAGAGTAAAATTTTTCAAATGGCTTCTTTTACTTTCAGATCAATATGAACTTTTTCCGTCATTTTAAGCATCGGTTTCTGAAACGCTAAATTGTATTATGAGATAAGGATTAGCTTAAAGTTAATCTATTGCTTTGTCTTTTTCGTTAGATTAAATATCACCCTTCTTAAAACTTCGTTTTACTCCCGAATTGTAAAATACCTCCGATTTGGCAATAGTTGACATAAACCGCCCACAGCAATACAATGGTAGTTACTTTCAACATATTTGATTAAATCTCTTTCTTATGTCGAAAAATGAACATTCAATATAAATATAATGTGAAATAAAGATCCGCGATAAAAATTCGAAGTGTTTGCAGTTAATGGCTGGCAGAGACTGATTGTAGTAAATAAAGACAAAACAGATCTACCTATCTACCTCAGTAATCAATTCAATTTTTCACACTCATCCGTTGTTCGTAGACGCATTCATTATGATATCACGAACGAAGTATAATAACATGAGAACCAGTTTTCTAAATATTTAGCAGCGTTGGCCAACCTTGTCTTGTTGTCTTTACATAATTGAAATATTGTTTGAAAAATATCTCGTCATTGATTAAATAAAATTTCTTCACGGAGAAGATCGAATCATTCTTTAGAAACGTTGCTAGCTACCTAATCGATTCCCTCACTTTCTTTGCAAAATCGTTTCTATCATTTCACTTATGTTTGCATTGTGTAAGAAATCGGGCACTATTGACCGCAACTAATGTACAAGCCGAGATTATGCGTGCAGAAGTTAGGACAACGAGAATGGAGAAAGACAAAACAATTGTTTTCTCATCAGTCTTTTGCACAATTCAAGCGATTTTGTCGAGAACGCGGAGTGTAGAAAAGACACCGAAATTTGAGATCATTTTATCTGATTTTTCTTTTTAATTTCGATTCGAAGCAATGGTGCAGTTACTAAGTCGCTTATGTTCTCTTTTCGCCGTCAGAATACTTGTTGTGCGTATCAATTAAAGCAGCCTTGTTTTAATTTTTTTCTTTGTACTTTTTTAGCTAATCGTTTTAATAATTCATATATATAATTTCGCTTTCGAAAAAGTTTAAAAGTCTCGAGATGAAGGGCAATTAAATCGTACTATTTTTTTTCAGAAATACAAAAGGAAAAATTGTTAAAAAAAAAGTGAAGGTAAAAGTTCGTGGCGCCTTTTCAAAAAATTGAAATATATTTTTCTTATACATTTGAGAGAATCTTATTAAAGGAAATGTCTTCAGAAGGCTCCTCCAAGTATCCTGCATTGCAAGCGCAGAAATAACTTAAGCCGATTTCGTAGTTCGCCATCAAAATCGTTGAATATAATAAGAACAAGAACCTCTCTTAGCTTAACTAAAACTATTGCAGCATCATCGATTTATTGTAGTCTACTCGTTTAATAATCATTTATGGCTAGTTTACACTTTCATATATTTCCACATAATGTAAATGTTGCTATAACCTAGTTAAGATAACCTACTTTAGCTAAAGCCCACATTAAATGTAACTTTAATAATAACCTAGTTTAAAACTATTATTTTGCTTAAGCTAGCATAATTATTTATTATATAAGACACTGACCACAGTTTAGTTCGGTCATAGTCATAGAGTCAAAATTAAAGTAAAGCTTCTTAAACCTTTTTCTTCATTTTTAATTTACCTACAATTAATAGTACGAGTAAATCGTAAGAGGAAAGCAACAATCTTTGGAGGTAATCTCGGATAAAGCTTTAGTGCGAAAAGGCCTTGTTTTACTTATAACAAATAAATAAAATACTATGTCTATATAGATAACGGTTGAAGTTTTTTTTTTAAAATACACCGATCTTCTTTTAGAAACGCTTTCCAGTACAATTCCGCTGAATATAGAATACTTTTATTGCTCTTATGTTATTGTTTATATTGATTTATCGACTTGCGCACCGCAATTGCGTCAACCATGGTTGACTTTGGTTTGCCTTGACAACTTATTTATTGGATTTTCTTTAGCTAACAGTCTGGACGGATAGGTAGGGTGATGTCAAATTTATACTCATTTTATACCTATAAAACAGTGTTGAAACATGGGAAAATATAATTGAAACAATAAAAACAATTGTGGGGATGACAGAATAATATCGAAAATAATTTCTGAATAATAAGTTGTTTTCCGAAAAGCAAAAGAATTCTCTGCAGTACCACACACGGTGAGCAATTAAGTGAGAAGGATTAGTGAAAAAACATTGCCGTCAAGAAGCGAAAGGTGTCGCGCTTCTCTTTCGAAATATAGCATCGTTGTGCTTATGAAGTGATCTTTCACAACCACGGTCATAGCTTGTACTTGAGGGTACATGATGTGGTTAAAGAGCATTTGGTAGAGAAGGTTCATGGAGACATTTTAAAATGTTTGCACTAGTATATCTTACTGAAAGTCAATCAAGCTTGGATCAATCATCAAACTTCAATGGCTGCGATACATGGCATTTTATTGTACATGGATCTTGTATATGTAAAGCATGCAGATATAGAAAGTGAGTACAATTTAGGTTAAATTCTGCTCAGAGAGGAGATTGTTCATTATTCTATCATACGAAAGAGGTTGCGTGACACTTTGTTAGTTAGGATTGCAGAAGTTCGCAGCGACGAAGATAATAATCGTTTGGCTATTAAAAATGGTTGCCAAATGTTGATGGCTTTGAGTATTAATTCGCGTTCAGTATACGAAGATGATTTTGAGAAGCCTTTTCTGACGCAAATTGCTTCGTTCTATAGTTGCAGAAACCCTTTTACCTAAAATAAGTCCATGAATGCTGTCAAGAAGAATCAGGACGAGTAGCTTTGTGTTTCAATAAGGATACCGAGCCGCGTGTTGTTAGAGTTGTGAAAGACGAGATGATACAAAACACAGCAGTACAATTAGGGCAATGGGAAATCCCAGCGTGGTGTATATGATAAAAAACTCTAAATTTGGAGATTTGGCCTACATATTGCAGTGTGATCGCATATCGTTATATGCATCCACTTTGAAGTGTGACAGAATTATGCAAATTCAGCATAATTCTTTTGCTGAAAGAAAATTGAAAATTATGTCACACTTCAACTGACTGAGTATTGCATTACAAAATGCAATGCGATAATTTATGTAATAATTTGTGTATAATAGCCAGGTAAGAATTGAATAAAGTCAATTGTCAAAATGCAATTCAGAAGCGTTTAATTTGCTAGACCCACAAAAGGCGTTCCATCCGCCTAAAATTATAGATAGGGACTGCAACGTGCCGATCTCGATTGGCATTTTATGAAACAGATTGACTTGGCGTTCTGAAACCGAGCAGTCAGGGTAAAACACCACAAAAGATCTGGTCACTAAAATAAAATATTAGTAAATCAAACTTTTTAATATTACAACATAAAAAATGTATACTCGACTCAAGGAAGAGGGTCTAAAAATCATAGCTGACACGATATCAGTTTCTTTACGAGACAAGGACGAAATGCTTGTTAAGGAAAAAGAAACTAACAAAGAGAATCCAGTAGATTTTGTTGAAAATTTGTTCGATGTTCAAGATCATATTGATCAGTTCCTTCATCAACAATGAAAGGCTCATCGCAAATGCCATTTCTTTTGATTTTGAGCATTTTTTTAACTTGAATAATAAGCTCGCCGAGCGTTTATCCTTATTTATTGATGATAAGTTGAGAATAGTCGGCAAAGGTGTGACCGAACAAGAAATTGAAAATATATTAAACAAAACAATGGTTCCATTTCGGTTTTTACGGGAAAAAGGGCGAATTTGTGGCACACTGCAAGGCACATTTAGTTAAGCGTTTTCTGCTCAATAGATCAGTTTTGGGCGACAGTGAAAAAGGCTTGGTTTCTCGGTTGACCACTGAATGAGGATATTAATTTACCTTGAAATTTGAGGGCATGCTGAACGATATGTTTTCATCCGACATCATTAATCAGGAATTTAAGACTTATATTAACAATTATAAGTTATCATTATTCGAAGTTGAATTAACAATTAAAATACTTACAGCTGATCACTGGCCTATGCAGACCCCAACGCCAAATTGCAATATACTATCTATAGTGCCGGACGAATATATCAGAACGTGAACTGCACTGAGCTTTGCAATCGCTATTAATGGGGAAACTGCATCAGTGTTTACTAGTGCGCAATTCTAAAACAAAGACTAACGATATAGAAGATGCGTATGAGTTTCTGATCAATGATTCTTTTGTTTTGAAATTCTGCCAAGTTAAAATTCAAACCGTGCCCGCTAAGGAAAATTGGAAATTTAAACGCAAGGAGACAAGAACTAAGGTATATGAGGATCGTAAACATCAAATTGAAGCAGCTATCGTGCGGAGAATGAAAGCTAGAAAACGCTTGCCGCATAATATTTTAGTGTCAGATGTGACGTCTCAGGTAACATCACATTTCCTGCCGTCACCTATGTTCATTAAGCAACGAACAGAACACTCATTCAAACTTAACCAATACATTCCACAACTGCAACTATTAAAACACTTGTTATTGTTTCAAATTTATTGTGATATGATAAGAAACGCCATTGCGGGATTCAAGCAAAAACCATCCGGTTGAAATAGCTTCTATTATTTACGGGCACGTTGTAGAAATTGTTGTAGTTCTTTATATTTAATAATTAGTTGATAATAACATAAATAAAAAAACTCCACGGTTCTGTACTATGTCGTTTAACAGGGGCCGACGCATGCTAAGAAATAAAAAAGTTTGGTTGGCATTTGATCGGTGACTGATTACCTGCCCTCTTCTAAAACAAGGCACGAGTTGCATTCTTTAAAAAGTAAACGTTACACCAGCTCTATATGGAAATCGAAAACCCAGTTGCTTAGTGATGCCAGGAAATGTTACAAATTTGTGAATTCAAAATGTCAAATAAAGGAATCGATAGCAACAGAGAGACTTTCCGTAATCAAGATTTAAATAACGATGATGTAGAGATAATTGGTTGGCACGACTACTTTTGTGGTAGCGTGCATAATGCGCTTTCTATCTAATGTTTCCAATTATTTAGGACATGGTATTGTTCATCTAGAGTTTTTCCATCCCCCGAGTCGCCCAGTACTAAACAATTAATAATGGCGATGTTGCAACACACCTTTAAAACATTTTCTCTACTGGAAATATTGAATCTTAGAAGTGAGCTAATCTAGAATCCCTAAGACGTTGTAATTGTAAAAAATTAAAGAGAAAAAAACCTGGCAGACGTACAACACGCAAATAAAAATAGAACATTGATTTAAATGAAATTAAGAAATAAAAGATATAAAACAATGAAGCACAAATGCTATAACCTAAACTAAGATTCGACTTTATTAAGTCTCAGGAAAAGAATATCATGTTCATTTTGAACCTTTACGA